TCACTCGGGAGCCCAGACCCCGACGGCCGGCCTCACCTGGGACACCCGGCGTGTGGCCGCATGACTCACCCGCTGGGACAGCCTTCGGGGCTGTGAGGAGGAAAGTTCTCTGTGGACAGCGGGTGCTGAGAAAGCTTCCCAGGTGGGTGACTGGGGTAAAAGGGAAACCCCACCAAGGAAGGGCCCTTGTGCCGGTACCTTGCTGAGTCAGGAAAGCCTTGGGGAGCCCAGACCCGGGACCTGACCGAGGACACGCACCCAGGCCGCTGTGTGCCGCCCTCCCACGGAGTACAGGAAAGCCACATGGTTCCAAATGTGGTGATCTTTCTTTATGGACCATTCTAACTCCCACAACATTCTCACGGAAACGGGACGGCAAGTGCCGGGAGGTGAAGCAGCTGCGCTGTGGAGGGAGTGATCATTGGCTCAAGCCCAAAGCAAGGAGTCACCTAGTCTCTGAAGAAGGAATTCAAGGCAATAAGTAATGATCAACTACATGCAAGATATGAGGGAATACAAACCTAATGTTACAAAACTTGGAACCATGGGGCAGGAAAGACACAAAACTAGTCAACATATTATAATGGAGGTTTAATCCACGGAGAACCTTGAGATAAAGCAAGAACAGTTGGAAAAATAGGAAAGACTCTCAACTCAATCTTAGTAAATGGTTGGTAAGAAAGGACTTTCCAGGTGGAGGCAACAGGTAAAGGGGGGAAACTAAAATTAACTAAAAATCTCTCACGTGAGGTGCTTTATATATCTTCAATTATGTTTTCATGTATTCACCCAATTCCTGAAAAAAACTAGGCAGATAATCATAATAAGAAACAAGCTCAGAGAGCTTTTCTAACATCAGCCAGCCAGTGAATGGCTAATGGGATTTCATAATTATTAACTGCTGCTTTTAAATACTTCTTACATAAAATACTTCTAATCCTTGCAACAATCCTGTAAGTACCGTTTTACAGATGGTACTGAGATTCAAAGGATTTAAGTAATTTGGTTCAGGCTACATAAACTGTAGGCAAATCCAAGTCTCAAATTTTAATTGACAATCCTATACAACTAGTTGTATCAAAGCAGAAATCTACGTAAGTTTAGATACAATATGACAGTATTTCCATATGCATATTAGAGTAGGATTGGGATATAAGGCTAAGAAAATAGGTTGGAGGCAGATCGTAAGAATCCTTGGCCACTTACAAATCAGTTTGGATTATGATGATTTGTTTATAAATGTACACCCTAATTTGTTCTGGAAATAATTTGAAGCAATTTATACATGTGGATGAAGGGAAAAAGTCAAGAATCAAAAGTAAAGAATAAAGTCCTATGTAGTTATAAAAGGTGAATAGGAAATGGAACTCCAGATTTCTTGTCCCAAATAAAGAAGTAGACATGATCAGTTACCAGATTCTCATCTATAAAAGACATCTGTATCCCTATCACCATATCCCTGCTGTTTCTTTTACCATACATACACATAGCAAATATATCATCAGCGGACAATTTTACTTCCCTTCTGATATGAATGCCTTTTCTTTCTTTTTCTTGCCTAATTGCTCTGGCTAGGACTTCCAGTGCAATGTCGACTAGGAGTGGTCAGAATGGGCACCCTTGTCTTGTTCCTGATGTTGGCAAGAAAGCTTTGAACATTTCACCATTGAGTATGGTGTTAGCTGTGGGTTTGTCATATGTGGCCTTTATTATGTTGAGACATTTTTCTATATCAAATTGCTTGAGTTTTTCTCTTGAAAGGATGTTGAATTTTGTCAAATGATTTTCCTGCATCTATGTAAATGAAAATATGATTCCTATCTTTCATTCTATTAATGTGGCATATCACATTTATTGATGTGCATTGCTTTCCATGGGTAAATTACCCTTGGTCATGGTGTATGAACCTTTCTAGGTGCTGGTGAATTCATTTTGTTAGTATTTTTTTAAAAAAACATATAAATGTATATATTCATCAAGAATATTGTCCTATAGTTTTCTTTTAGTGTCCTTATCTGGATTTGGTGTCAGGGTAACTCAGGCCTCCCAAAATGAGTTTGTAAGTGTTCCCTCTCTTCAATTTTTTGGAAGACTTTGAGAAAGACTGGTGTTAATTATTCTTTAAATGTTTGATAGAATTCACTGGTGAAACCATCTGGTCCTAGGCTTTTCTTTGGTGGGAGGTCCTTTATTGTTTCAATCTCTTTATTCATTATTGGTCTGTCCAAATTTTCTATTTTTTCATGATTCAGTCTTGGTAGGGTGTATGTAGGTTGGTTTCCTAGACTTACCCTCCTAGACGTCTCAGAATTCTATAGAAGGCTGCTCTTCCTTTTGTTTTAAAATTGAGAACTATATTGGACATTAAAAAGGAGGTATAAAACATATGCTCCCCAGAACCACACAGAGCATAGCTAGAGAACAGGGTCAACACCCTGGAAGTCCATATCTGCTCCTCCCTGAGGACATCCTCTCCCAGAAGTACCTGCTCTCCTGGTACTGCATCATTATCCCCTTGACTGTATAGTTGTACAGTTTATTTAGATGTCTTTAAAGAAATGCAGTATTAGTCAATTGGTCCAATTTTTGACCTTTTTCTTAAAGTTCTTCTGAATTCTTCTGTGTCTTGAGTCTTCGTTCAATACTGTGCTTGTGAAATTTATTGATGCTGATGCATATAGCTTTCATTTATTTTCACTGTTGTATAGTATTTCATTGTAAGACTATGCTATTTTATTCATTCAATCCATTGTTAATGGACTTTTGGGTTATGCCAAGTTGTGTTTTGGCTTGTTTATTTTTATAAACATACTATGTATATAGTATGGGTGTGTTTTTTTAATACAGTATAAAAAATATTTATCTATTATCTTATTTTTTGCTTTCAATTTGTCCCAAGTCATCTAAGTTTACCTTTCTCTATTTTCTTGCCTTCTTTTAGATTGATTTTTTTCTCATTCTACTTTTCCCCCTTCACTAGTTTGAAAATTATATACTATATTCTCCCAAGGGTACATAGAAATTTAAAGATGATATTTAAGAAAATATAATGTTAACCAGTATCTTTACCCTGCTCTTAATTTATATACTATTCTTTTTAATCTTGCTTTTGAACTGCAGAAGATATTTTACTTAGTAATTTAACTTGTCTAGATATACCTAGATATTCCGTTCTTTTTGTATTCTACATTCCTATCTCTGACCTCTTTCTTTCTGTCTCATACATATTTACTATTTTAGTAAGCATGACCTGTGGCAAACATTCTTGATTTTTGTTTACCTGAAAATGTCTCTATATTGCTCTCATTCTTAAAGATAGTTTCTTCTAATTAAATAATTCTATGTTGAGAATTATTTTCTTTCAATCTACTGAAAATATTCTGTTTTCAGCTTGGCTTCTCATCAGTGACAAAGAATCAGTCTTCATTGTTTTGGTGATCACCTTTTTCATGGAAGCTTTTTTTAAAAAATATACTTTTCTTGATTTCAGAGAGGAAGAGAGAGGGAGAGAGCGAAACATCAATGATGAGAGAGAATCATTGATCGGCTACCTCCTGCACGCCCCCCACTGGGGATCAAGCCCGCAACCCGGGCTTATGCCCTTGACCGAATCGAACCCTGGACCCTTCAGTCCGCAGGCTGACACTCTATCCACTGAGCCAAATAGGCCAGGGCTTCACTGAAGCTTTTGAGACCTTTCTCTCCACCATTGGTGTCTTGCAGATTCATCTTGGAGTGCCTGTGTATGAATTCTTTTCATTTATACTTTCAGGGATTCATAAGGAATTTTCACAAATTCTAAAATATGGCCTTAGCCCTAACTGGTTTGGCTCAGTGGATAGAGAGTCGGCCTGGAGACTGAAGGGTCCAAGGTTCGATTCCGGTCAAGGGCATGTACCTTGGTTGCAGGCACATCCCCAGTAGGGGGTGTGCAGGAGGCAGCTGATCGGTGTTTCTCTCATCGATGTTTCTAACTCTCTGTCCTTCTCCCTTCCTCTCTGTAAAAAATCAATAAAATATATTTTTTAAAATAAAATAAAATATGGCCTTAGCTGCATTCTTTCTCCTGGAATTCCAACCAGATTTATGGTAGGGCTTCTTATTTTATTCTCCATGTTTCTTTTCTTTCATAATACTTAAAAAGGCGATCACTCTCACATTTGTTTAGATATTCCTCTTGCCTCACCCTTGTGCTTGCCTGATGGAGGTGAAACTGCTATGAACATTGTGTCAAGTCTTGGCATGGATGGTCCACAGAAGATCCTGTGCGTGGCCTGCATTTTGAGAAACACAACAAAGTAGCAAAGCCTTGGTTTTCCTGAGTGTCCTCGGAGGTGGGTCCTGTCACAGCCCAAGGGGTCTCTGCACCCCAGTCATTTCCTCCTCTTCAAGGAGACATCTGACATCCCTCCTGCTGTGTAAGTCAGCAAGGAAGATGCACTTCAAAGGAGATTCCACAGCCCATTCAATAGAGAATAACTCTGCTGCTTGTTTCTTTTTATTGGGATGAAACCACATAGCATAAAATTTACCATTTAACCACTTCAAGTGTGGCATTAAGTACATTCCATTAGGAAAGTAACTTTCTTGCTTACAGTTCATTGACAACAAAATAGAGTTCTCCAGAGACCTTCAGATCTGCAGACCAGAGCTTTTTCCATGTGGTCTTTACCTAAACCAGCTCCATCTCCACTCTCCGTGTTTATGCCCAGATCCCAACCGCCTGTCCTCTGGAGTCCATGACTATATTTTTTCTTTATTCCCTGCACCAAGGATTAAGGCAGAGGCACCTATTTCTACTACGACTCCGTTTCTAGTGTAGAAGGTGGTAGAAGATGGAACATGCTCACTCCTCAGAAAGGGCGCAGTCATTTTGGACCAGCAACTTAAGAGATGCTCTTTCCTCCTACTGCTTGCGGCTTCTTGTCAGTCATGGAATCACTGTGGCCGCAGACTCATCATCAGCTGATTTCCTGGGGAAAGTGATAAACCTTGGAAGGGACAATTAAGTATATCCCTTCTGACACGGTTGCATGGACTCTTGTCCGCATTGCAGCTATCAGCCCAGTTAGTGAAAGAAGATGGAGACTTAGGTTGTCTCATGGCACTCAATAAATCTTTTGAATTTCCATTTTCAGAAAGTGTTGCAGGGCAGTGTGCAGTGCAGTGTGAACCTGAGCGGCATACATTTTTGTCCCACAGTGTAACCTATGTGTACACTTCCACTTAAACAAAAACACACCACACCTGCCAGTGTTCCATGGGGATGTTACCCTTCAGCATTTTCCAGGCCCACCAGCCTCCAGCCTTGGCTAATAGCTTCCAGAACATTAGAGAAGCTGTTTTCATTGTGGGGTGGGGGGTGGGGCAACAGTCTGATTACTTTTCTCCTGAGCAGATATGGTCTTAATTGTGTCTCATATTTGGAGGCAGGAAACCGTCATCTATTCTATTCCTCGTTAAAACTAAGAGGTTTTATGTAAACAGTCTTTCTGCCACCCTGTTAACCTCAAATAACCCCTTTGCACCTGCCAAGTTGCACTGTGAACTACATACACCCTTCTAGACACACACTCAGCTTACAAGCACTTTCCATAGTCAACGACTTGGGGTGACAGTTGCCCTGTAAAGCTTAAAAACCTCCAACACATTTTCTCCCGTAGATTTCACAGGAAATGCAGGTGCCAGGCTGTGTGGCCCCAGAAAAGTCCCTTTACCTTTCTAGGTCTCCGACACTAACATGAGAAAGTTGGGCTGGTGGCTCTGTGAGGTCCCCAGGCTGTCTTCATATTCTAGACAGCTTTCTGCTTGGGCCCTGAACAGCAAACACTCAGTGCTTTGTTTCCAGGAAGAGTCTGGTGGATGAAAGCTGAAGCCAGTGGCCCTTGAGCACACTCCCAGGGCTGGCCTTCCTGCACCCGTGGACTGCAAGTGTGAGAGTTACACGTGGCTGTAATAAAAATGAAAATGCACTTTTGATTCACTAGCAAGCCCAGCTTCACTTGTGCAGTTCACTGATGCCTGCCATCAGCCCTGTGAGGTGGGCCACATTTGAGAGAGGATTTGAGAGAGGACAGGATGGCGCTAGCAGGTTTGGCTCAGTGGATAGAGTGTCGGCCCACAGATTAAAGGGTCCTGGGTTCGATTCCAGTCAAAGGGAACATACCTCGGTTGCAGGCCGGATCCCTGGGCCCTGGTCTCTGTGTCTTCCCCCTCCCTTCCACTCTCTCTAAAAATCAGTAGGAAAATATCCTCAGTTGAGGATTAACCAAAAAAAAGAAAAAAGAAAGGATAGGATGCCACACCCTCCTATACAGTGTATGGGTGCAGTCACCATGGTTCACCATCAGTACCAAGACTCCAAAAGGCTAAGAAGACTGCTCTGGGCTACTCCAGAGTCAGTGCAACTGAGCTGCTGTGGCCTGGCCCATGGTGGGGGTGACACTCCAGCTGGTTCCCTCTTCAGGATTTGTTTCAGAAGAAGATGGAGAGAGAGGGAAGGAGGGAGGGGGGAGAAAGAGAGAGGGAGAGGGAGGAGCGCCACCTGGTGGCAAGTCATGATGCTGCCAGCACTGTCAGGAGCAACCCAGACTCCTGCCATTTGTTACACAGGCCTGACTTCCAGTGCTGAAACAGTGATTGGCACACACTGGCTGCTAATAATGATAGGTAACATCTATTTATTGAGTAACAACTGTGAGTTCTTTTTAATTGATAGAATTTTTTAGATTTACAGAAAAAATGACCAGCTGGTACAGAGTTCCCTTGTACCCTCCTTCCCCTCAATACAGTTTCTCCTATTGATAACATCTTGCATTAGTATGGTACATTTGTTACATTTAATGAACCAATATTGATACATTAGTATTAACCAAATCCCACACTTAAAGGTTCACTCTTGGTGTTGTGCCTCCTATGGATTTGACAAATGCATGTCACATACCCACCATTTGGTATCAGAGATCAGCACCATTTTTCTGTGCTTCACTTATTCATCCCTCCCTCCCCCCTAACCTCTAGCAACCACTGATATTTTGACTGTCTCCAAAGTTTTGCCTTTTCCAGAATGTCATATAGTTGAAGTCATATATAAGTAGCCTTTTCTGGTTGGCTTCTTTCACTAAACAATATGCATTTAAGGTTCCTCCATGTCTTTTTGTGGCTAGACAGCTCATTTTTTAGCACTAAATGATATTCCATGTCCTAGATGTAACATAGTTTATTTATCCATCACTTACTGAAGGACATTTTGGTTGCTTCCAGTTGTTGGCAATTACTGCTATAAATATCCGTGTGCAGATTTTTGTGTGGACCTAAGTTTTCAGCTCCTTTGGGTAAATACCAAGGAGCAAGGCTGCTGGATTGTTGAATTTTGTAAGAAACTGCAAACTTCCCTGAAAAGTGGCTGTACCTTTTCATTCCCACCAGCAGTGAATGAGAGGTCCTGCTGCTCCACACCCTCGCCAGCATTTGCTATCATCTGTGTTCTGGATTTTAGCCGTTCTAGTAGGTGTAGTGGTATCTCATTGTTTTGATTTACATTTCCCTGATGACATATGCTTCAGAGCGCCTTTTCATGTGCTTATTTGCCATCTGGACATTTTTTGTGGTAAGAAGACTATTCAGATCTTTGACTTTTTTAAATTAGGTTGTTTTCTTGTTGCTGAGTTTTAACTTTATACATTTTGGTTACCAGTTATTTATCAAATATGTGTTTCACAATATATTTTAATATATATGAAATAAATACACATGTTTAAATAAAACATATTTGTTGAAGTGTCACCTAAAATAATTTCCTATGCCATCTGTGGTATGTGTACAAAAAATTTAAATATTTCCCATTTAAAGTGAAATAGTAATAGTGCAGATTCATTTCTGTGGACATATATTCAAAGCAAAATAATCATAATCACATCCATGAAAACTCCCTTCCCATCGGTGCATCTTTGATTAGACATAAACAGGTGGACTATTATGACCCATGGTGCAGGAGGCTTAACACACACCAACATTGTTCAATACCATTTGCCTTGGGAACACACTTACATGCAGTTTTATTTCATAAGTTTCGTGATACCTGTCCTAGTCTATTCAGGCTGCTGTAACAAAGTACTACAGACCGAGTGGCTTATAAACAACATAAATTTATTCCTCATAGCTCTGAAGACTGGAAATCCAAGATCAGGGTGCCAGCATGGTCAGATTCTGTTGAGAACTCTCCTCTGGGTTGCAGATGTCTTCTGTCTGTGTCCTCACATGGTGGAAGGGGTATGAGAGCTCTCTGGGGTATCTTTCATATGAACACTAATCCCATTCATGGGGGCTCCACCCTCATAACCTAATCATGTCTCAAAGGCCCCCATCTAATACCATCACATTGGGGGTTAGGTCTCAAGACATGAACTTGGGGAGACACAAACATTCAGTTCGTAACACCTGAATATAACCTCTGCTCCCAGAGGCAGATCTTGGTAATAGCAATAGTTTGGGACATGATGCCTATAATAATTGAGGTTTAATTTCAAATGATGCTTTGCAAAGACTATGTAACTTCTATTGCATTCCAGATTCTTCCAGTATAGTGACACCACAGAGAGAGGACTTGACAAAAGACAGAAGGCAGAGTTCTCACAGTGATTTTTGTTCTCCTTGTTATGTCATCTAACTTCCCTGAGCTCAGTTTACTAACCTGAAGTACATGATTGCTCATGTTCTTTCCAGCTCTGACTCTTTTGAGTCAATGATTTGTGAAGCTTACCTGTAAGGCACAGGAAATGGCTACATAATAAACTGCAAAAGGAGGATATGTCTGACATTTAGCCACAAGAGGAAGGAAATGGAAGCTTTTACTTCATCCTCAGCTGAGATCTGTCGGTGGAAAATCCCAAGCCCACCTGAGATTCCTGGGACAGCCAGGTGACAGACACACCGCATGTTGGGTGTTGGGCTAAACATTCAGCAGCAGAAATGAATACAAATTGGATACGATGAAAAACCTGCAATGACAACTTCGGTCTAAAGGGAAATAATGCCATCATTATAGGACAATTCGCATCCATAGTCCAAGGTTAATGGAGAGCCCACCATCAGGAGCTGGGCTCACCAGCTCTGGGCACTGGGAAAGTCCAGGAGCAGAAGGGTCAGCTTGCCTTGTTTCTAGTCTGTGTACAGAAGGCGCCTAGTGCCTCAGAGATTGTTATGAATACTAAGCAGTGTAGCAAATACTTTGAGCAGCCGAGCCCACCCACAGCCTTCAGTAAAGGTCAGCCATTGTTACGCCCACAGGCACGCTCCCTGAGCACGGGGCTGTGTGGCGCCACATGGGCTGCTGTGTGGCGTTCCACAGACTGGCCCTGTTCTCCCTTCCTCAGCTTTTGAATGCCCCCCACTCGGCCTTCAGTCCTTCTCTTTCTCATCCCTTCTTCAGAGGCTCATTCTCTTCAACTCTCCAAAGAAACCCATCCTTTCAGAGACTGACAGTT